AGATCCATGGATGTGTCAGTTATTATTATAGATCCATGGATGTGTCAGTTATTATTATAGATCCATGGATGTGTCAGTTATTATTATAGATCCATGGATGTGTCAGTTATTATTATAGATCCATGGATGTGTCAGTTATTATTATAGATCCATGGATGTGTCAGTTATTATTATAGATAAATGGATGTGTCAGTTATTATTATAGATCTATGGATGTGTCAGTTATTATTATAGATCCATGGATGTGTCAGTTATTATTATAGATAAATGGATGTGTCAGTTATTATTTTAGATAAATGGATGTGTCAGTTATTATTATAGATAAATGGATGTGTCAGTTATTATTATAGATAAATGGATGTTCCAGTTATTATTATAGATCCATGGATGTGTCAGTTATTATTATAGATCCATGGATGTGTCAGTTATTATCATAGATCCATGGATGTGTCAGTTATTATTATAGATCCATGGATGTGTCAGTTATTATTATAGATCCATGGATGTGTCAGTTATTATTATAGATCCATGGATGTGTCAGTTATTATTATAGATCCATGGATGTGTCAGTTATTATTATAGATCCATGGATGTGTCAGTTATTATTATAGATCCATGGATGTTCCAGTTATTATTATAGATCCATGGATGTGTCAGTTATTATTATAGATCCATGGATGTTCCAGTTATTATTATAGATCCATGGATGTGTCAGTTATTATTATAGATCCATGGATGTTCCAGTTATTATTATAGATAAATTGATGTGTCAGTTATTATTATAGATCCATGGATGTGTCAGTTATTATTATAGATAAATGGATGTGTCAGTTATTATTATAGATAAATGGATGTGTCAGTTATTATTATAGATCCATGGATGTGTCAGTTATTATTATAGATCCATGGATGTGTCAGTTATTATTATAGATAAATGGATGTGTCAGTTATTATTATAGATAAATGGATGTGTCAGTTATTATTATAGATAAATTGATGTTTCTCTCTCATCAGCAAACACACGTTAATACATTTAGTTCTGATAAAATTACTTTTAAGTGATGCACAAACGAGGGCCATAGCAAATATATAATCCATATCTAATAATCATTTATTGCATATATGTGCATTGTTTACATAAAATATAACTTTGTAAAAACTAATGATTACTGTCAATACTGTTGTTATAACAGAGAAAGTGTAACAACAAAAGCATCCTCTGTTTTTTCAGAATACGATTGTAAACATCCAGGGGGCTCTCATTACCTGAACCCGTGTTTAGACAGCCTGTTCTGGGCTTCAGCACTGCAGCTAACTGGGCTGTTAGCTTATAGCACCGGAGCTTCAGGCTGGAGGTAAAGTCCGAACATTTTCGAATTTATCTCCAAACAGACTTCTGATATGACAATAGAGGGGGATATTTCTCGCCTCAAATGATATTAGAATTAACTTTTATGTCCTAATTAAAGCGTATTTAGAACTTTTTACCGTCCATCATGGCCGCCGTGTCCTTCCGCTCCGCTCTGAGTTGTGTAACGTGACGAAGGCAGAAGGCAGCTGCTGTCCAAATCCACATCACGTCTCGCCTCCTACCTCGCCTCCTACCTCGCCTGTGGCTACGCGGCCTTCCCTCGATGCCTACATATCCACCCTACGCGGCCCGATGCCTACCGTTTTGGACACAGCCATAGACTGTGAGGCGGGCAGCCAACAGGAAGCGGCTCTTTTGTAGGGAGGAGCTGCTGGGCCTGCAGCTCCCCCGTGTGGTCCTCCTCTGTACTGCACCTCCCACAGACAGACAACAACAAAAATCAATGAGTGTTTTTCTGATGTTGTTTCTGTGAGCACTGGTTCTCCTCAGGGATGTATTTTGAGTCCTCTGCTTTTTACTTTGTACACTCACGATTGTGTGTCCTCCTCTGACTCAAACTTGATCATCAAATATGCTGATGACACCACCATCATCGGTCTCATCAGTGACACTGATGAATCCTCTTATAGAGCCGAGATACAAAATGTGGTTCAGTGGAGTCAAACTAACAACCTCCAGTTGAACGCATCCAAAACATGTGAACTGGTCACGACTTCAGTCGCAATAGTTCTCATTTGTCTGTCGTAATCGACAACTCCCAGGTGCAGATCGTAGAGGAGCAAGTTTGTGGGTTTAACTCTGTCTAACCTGAAATGGGTTAAAAACACCGAGTCGTTAAGAAAGCTCGTCAGCGTCTCTACTTTCTGCGTAAACTTAGAGAATTTACCACTAACTCTAAGATTGTGTTTAACTTTTATGGCTGCACCATTGAGAGTTTACTTGTTGGTTCTGTGTCTGTGTGGTTTGGAAACATCACAGATAAAGAAAAGAGAGCTTTAAACAAGGTGCTCCGCTCTGCAAAGAGGACCGTGGGCTGTGAGCTTCCTGTTCTGGAGGTTCTTTATAAATCCAGACTTTTAAACAAAGCTCTTAGGATTGTTAATGACTCTTCTGGCCACCCTGGGAAAGCAATGTTCCAGCTTCTTCCCTCTGGCAGAAGATATCGGTCGCTGAGATGCAAGACATCTCGCTATGCTAACAGCTTCTTTCCACAGGCTGTTAGGTGCCTAAACAGAGCACTTTAATTCCTGCTTTTACCTGCTTTTAAACTGCTTTTACCCCTTGTATTGTTTTGTTGATCGGTGCCACAGTGTCAGCTGTTTTTTTATTCTTTTATATTCAGTGTTTGTGTATTTTATATTACATTGTATCGTGCTTTTATTCTGTCGGTGCACACAGAGTACCTTTTATTGCAAATGTATTCCAATGTAGTTTTTATACTGCACATGGCTAATAAAATGAATCTGAATCTGAATCTGAACACATTAATGTGGGGCTGTCACAGGTTATTTATTGGTATCAGTGCATCCAGACAACTACAGCCTCAGTCCTGGGTCTATGGCCTCAGTCCTGGGTCTACAGCCTCAGTCCTGGGTCTACAGCCTCAGTCCTGGGTCTACAGCCTCAGTCCTGGATCTACAGCCTCAGTCCCGGGTCTACAGCCTCAGTCCTGGGTCTACAGCCTCAGTCCTGGGTCTACAGCCTCAGTCCTGGGTCTACAGCCTCAGTCCTGGGTCTACAGCCTCAGTCCTGGGTCTACAGCCTCAGTCCTGGGTCTACAGCCTCAGTCCTGGGTCTACAGCCTCAGTCCTGGGTCTACAGCCTCAGTCCTGGGTCTACAGCCTCAGTCCTGGGTCTACAGTCTCAGTCCTGGGTCTACAGCCTCAGTCCTGGGTCCACAGCTGTTCTCAGTGTGAACCCTCTGAGTCCGGTCTGGGGCCTCCTGTTATGACTCCCATCGCTCCTTATCTTGTCATAACGTTCTCTCCGTCGCAGCAGAAAGAGACGCCTCGAGGAGACTGTCTCTCTCTCTAGTCTCTCTCTCTGGTCTCTCTCTGGTCTCTCTCTGGTCTCTCTCTGGTCTCTCTCTCTGGTCTCTCTCTGGTCTCTCTCTGGTCTCTCTCTCTGGTCTCTCTCTGGTCTCTCTCTGGTCTCTCTCTCTGGTCTCTCTCTGGTCTCTCTGGTCTCTGGTCTCTCTCTGGTCTCTCTCTGGTCTCTCTCTCTGGTCTCTCTCTGGTCTCTCTCTGGTCTCTCTCTCTGGTCTCTCTCTGGTCTCTCTGGTCTCTGGTCTCTCTCTCTGGTCTCTCTCTGGTCTCTCTCTCTGGTCTCTCTCTGGCCTCTCTCTCTAGTCTCTCTCTGGTCTCTCTCTCTGGTCTCTCTCTGGTCTCTCTCTGGTCTCTCTCTGGTCTCTCTCTGGTCTCTCTCTGGTCTCTCTCTGGTCTCTGACTGTCCAACAATCACATTTGTGCATCGCTCACATAGTTTCCTGCTTTTGTGTCTTTGGTCTTTTCCATAAACAAAGGCTCAGGCCCAGAAAGAACTCAGCAAGAACAAGAAGAAACCAGGAGACCTCTCTCTCTGGTCTCTCTCTCTGGTGTTTTAGTGTGAGAGACCAGAGAGGGACCAGAGAGAGAGACCAGAGAGAGACCAAAGAGAGACCAAAGAGAGACCAGAGAGAGACCAAAGAGAGACCAAAGAGAGACCAGAGAGAAAGACCAAAGAGAGACCAGAGAGAGACCAAAGAGGGACCAGAGATAGACCAGAGAGAGAGACAAGAGAGAGACAAGAGAGAGACCAGAGAGAGACCAGAGAGAGACCAGAGAGAGACCAGAGAGAGAGACCAGAGAGAGACCAGAGAGAGACCAGAGAGAGACCAGAGATCATGTGATTGTCGTATAGAGACTTTTTCCCGCACAGACTGAATCATTGTGGAGGTTCTGGGAAGATCCAGGATGATAAATGACCCTGATGTGGCTCTGGCTCCGCTCGGCTCAGGTTCAGGCTCGGTCTGAAAACCCGTCCAGGATCTGAAGCCCGGTCTGTATGATGTCATCTCTGCACACAGAGAAAGGGAACCAGAAGGAAAGCAAATACCAGATACATTAAAGTCTGGACACCTTCTCATTCAAAGAGTTTTTTTATTTTCATGATTATGAACATTTTAGATGGACACTGAAGTTATCAAAACTATGAATGAACTCATGTGGAATTATTTATTTTACTAAAAGAAAAAGTATGAACCAAGTGTAAATATGTGTTATATTCTGGTTCTTCAAAGTATCTCCTTTTGCTCTGATACTGCTTCACTCTTGGCATTCTCTGGATGAGCTTCAACAGGACCTGAAATGATCTCCAACAGTCTGGAAGGAGTTCCCATGATGCTTAGCAGCCCCAAAAAAACATCTGGACTGGGTTCAGGTCCAAAACCATCTGGACTGGGTTCAGGTCCAAAACCATCTGGACTGGGTTCAGGTCCAAGCCCATCTGGACTGGGTTCAGGTCCAAAACCATCTGGACTGGGTTCAGGTCCAAAACCATCTGGACTGGGTTCAGGTCCAAAACCATCTGGACTGGGTTCAGGTCCAAAACCATCTGGACTGGGTTCAGGTCCAGTGACTGTGGAGACCAGAGAGACCAAAGAGAGACCAGAGAGAGACCAGAGAGAGACCAGAGAGAGACCAGAGAGAGACCAGAGAGAGAGACCAGAGAGAGACCAGAGAGAGACCAGAGAGAGACCAGAGAGAGACCAGAGAGAGACCAGAGAGAGAGACCAGAGAGAGACCAGAGAGAGACCAGAGAGAGACCAGAGAGAGACCAGAGAGAGAGACCAGAGAGAGACCAGAGAGAGACCAGAGAGAGACCAGAGAGAGACCAGTCTCTTCTCAGACAGTGACTGTTCTGAAACCGTCGTAGTCCGTGTCTCTCATAAAGTCGTTTTGTGTCAGACTGACCCTGAGTCCTGTTGAATCTCCCACAGACGCATCACTTTCCCATTTACTTGAAGAATCACCTCCTGCTGAGAGCGTGACCTCTGGTCTCGCTCTGGTCTCTCTCTGGACTCACTCTGGTCTCGCTCTGGTCTCGCTCTGATCTCGCTCTGGTCTCGCTCTGGTCTCACTCTGGCCTCGCTCTGGCCTGACTCTGGTCTCACTCTGGTTTCACTCTGGTCTCGCTCTGGTCTCGTTCTGGTCCTGTCTGGGCTGTTGGAGGCCCGGGGTAATGAGCCAGAGCGAGACCGTTTCCTCGACACAAAAGGTGAGACGTCAGCGGAGACTGGACCATGTCTGCCCAGAGACGAGCAGCCAATCAGGAGGCTTTGTCCCTGAGTCAGCCAATCAGGAGGCTTTGTCCCTGAGTCAGCCAATCAGGAGGCTTTGTCCCTGAGTCACTTCAGAATTCAGACATGTATTGTTGGACTTCCCGACATTGCCCGGGTCACTGCTTACAGGAATCTGTTAGAGAGAAATGACTCTGAGGAGCACAGAGACTGGCCTCCTGCTGGGACTCTGAGGAGCACAGGGACTGGCCTCCTGCTGGGACTCTGAGGAGCACAGGGACTGGCCTCCTGCTGGGACTCTGAGGAGCACAGGGACTGGCCTCCTGCTGGGACTCTGAGGAGCACAGGGACTGGCCTCCTGCTGGGACTCTGAGGAGCACAGGGACTGGCCTCCTGCTGGGACTCTGAGGAGCACAGGGACTGGCCTCCTGCTGGGACTCTGAGGAGCACCGGGACTGGCCTCCTGCTGGGACTCAGAGGGTCCTCGGTGATTGGACGATACGTCTTTAAACCAGAGCAGCTCCTGGTTCACGCCTCATTGACCCTCCATGGTTCAGGACCTGTCAGAGACCAGAGAGAGACCAGAGAGAGACCAGAGAGAGACCAGAGAGAGACCAGAGAGAGATCAGAGAGAGACCAGACTCAGTTGTGGTGTTGTGGTCTCAGTGTTTACGATGCTCTGAATGTGACGTGTCTTTGAAGATGCGACTAGAACAACACAGGGACACGAGGAGGAACAGTACGAGCCATAAAGGCATGAGTGAAGAGGGCAAGACATTCTTCCAGGACCAGGGTCTACAGCTTCAGTCTGGTCCCTTCTCTCTCTCTCTCTCTCTCTCTCTCTCTCTCTCTCTCTCTCTCTCTCCCTCTCTCTGGCCTCTCTATGTTTCCTCTTTCTGATCTCTCTCTTGGTCATTTTGGTCTCTCTGTCTCTCCCTGGTCTCTCTCTGGTCTCTCTCTGGTCACTCTCTCTCTCTGGTCTTTCTGGTCTCTGTGTCTCTCTTCGGTCCCTCTGTCTCTTTCTGGTCCCTCTCTCCACATGATGCTGTAGACTCTTCGTCTCTGCAACATGCAAAGGTTTTGGACCAGATGTCATGATTCTGTTTGTTGTGCTGGGGGGCGTGGCCGGTCTCTGCTGGGGGGCGTGACCGGTCTCTGCTGGGGGCGTGGCCGGTCTCTGCTGGGGGGCGTGGCCGGTCTCTGCTGGGGGCGTGGCCGGTCTCTGCTGGGGGCGTGGCCGGTCTCTGCTGGGGGGCGTGGTCGGTCTCTGCTGGGGGCGTGGCCAGTCTCTGCTGGGGGCGTGGCCGGTCTCTGCTGGGGGGCGTGGCCGGTCTCTGCTGGGGGCGTGACCGGTCTCTGCTGGGGGCGTGGCCGGTCTCTGCTGGGGGGCGTGACCGGTCTCTGCTGGGGGCGTGACCGGTCTCTGCTGGGGGCGTGACCGGTCTCTGCTGGGGGCGTGGCCGGTCTCTGCTGGGGGGCGTGACCGGTCTCTGCTGGGGGCGTGGCCGGTCTCTGCTGGGGGGCGTGGCCGGTGCATTAGGGTCTAAGGACAGTGGTCTCTGCTGTGTTTGTTATTATTGCATTTCCTTTTCTAGTGTTTGCATGTTCTCCTCGTGTCTGTGTAGGACATGAACCACAAACCAGATGAGAAACCAAGAGAGAAACCAGGTCTTTGCACTGGCTTCATGTGGCTCAGAGAATAGACTTTAAAGCAGCTGAGTCTGAGTCTGGTCTCTCTCTGGTCTCTCTTTCTTGGCTCTCTCTGGTCTCTCTCTATGGTCTCTCTCTGGTCTCTCTCTGGTCTTTCTCTCTGGTCTCTCTCTGGTCTCTCTCTGGTCTCTCTCTAGTCTCTCTCTGGTCTCTCTCTGGTCTCTCTCTAGTCTCTCTCTAGTCTCTCTCTAGTCTCTCTCTAGTCTCTCACTGGTCTCTCACTGGTCTCTCTCTGGTCTCTCTCTGGTCTCTCTCTGGTCTCTCTCTAGTCTCTCTCTAGTCTCTCTCTAGTCTCTCTCTGGTCTCTCTCTAGTCTCTCTCTAGTCTCTCTCTAGTCTCTCTCTGGTCTCTCTCTAGTCTCTCTCTAGTCTCTCTCTAGTCTCTCTCTGGTCTCTCTCTGGTCTCTCTCTAGTCTCTCTCTAGTCTCTCTCTGGTCTCTCACTGGTCTCTCACTGGTCTCTCACTGGTCTTTCTGGTCTCTCTCTATGGTCTCTCTCTTGTCTCTCTCTTGTCTCTCTCTCTGGTCTCTCTCTGGTCTCTCTCTGGTCTCTCTCTGGTCTCTCTTGTCTCTCTCTGGTCTCTCTCACTGGTCACTCAATGATGCATGAGTTTAGCAGCAGAGCTAACATGAGAGGGTTGCATGAGTTTAGCAGCAGAGCTAACATCAGAGGGTTGCATGAGTTTAGCAGCAGAGCTAATATCAAAGGGTTGCATGAGTTTAGCAGCAGAGCTAACATCAAAGGGTTGCATGAGTTTAGCAGCAGAGCTAATATCAAAGGGTTGCATGAGTTTAGCAGCAGAGCTAACATCAAAGGGTTGCATGAGTTTAGCAGCAGAGCTAACATCAAAGGGTTGCATGAGTTTAGCAGCAGAGCTAACATGAGAGGGTTGCATGAGTTTAGCAGCAGAGCTAACATGAGAGGGTTGCATGAGTTTAGCAGCAGAGCTAACATGAGAGGGTTGCATGAGTTTAGCAGCAGAGCTAACATGAGAGGGTTGCATGAGTTTAGCAGCAGAGCTAACATGAGAGGGTTGCATGAGTTTAGCAGCAGAGCTAACATGAGAGGGTTGCATGAGTTTAGCAGCAGAGCTAACATGAGAGGGTTGCATGAGTTTAGCAGCAGAGCTAACATGAGAGGGTTGCATGTGATACACAAGACACGTTTTCGTTACAGTCTAGTTTGAGAAAGATCCCAGACTCAGACTGTAACGAGGAGACAGCTTTAAACTCTGGGCCTGGTCTTTCTCCACACGTCCTCCCAACGGACTGTAGTCTCTCTGGTCTATCGAGTCTGTTAGTGCCTCTGATTCTGAATCAACTAGTAGAGTTAAAGGGAAAGCGTGTGAATTTGATGAGATATGGCAATCCTTTGTTAGTTAACTAAATTGAATATTAATATTATTAGTTCTGATTAAATTTTGAATTCCTTTTTTTTTTTTGTATGTGTGTGTTCTCTCTTGCGGTAATCTCCATGGGGTTTATGTTTGTCTGCTTATGTGTTTGTTTGTTAATAATTGAAAAAGCATAAATAAATTATAAAAAAAAAAAACTAGTAGAGTCTGACCTGGATCAGCTGGAAGAGTCTGACCTGGATCAGACCCTTGATCAGCTGGTGGAGTCTGACCTGGATCAGCTGGTAGAGTCTGACCGGGATCAGCTAGTAGAGTCTGACCTGGATCAGCTGGTAGAATCTGAACGGGATCAGCTGGTAGAGTCTGACCTGGATCAGCTGGAAGAGTCTGACCAAGATCAGACCCTTGATCAGCTGGAAGAGTCTGCCCTGGATCAGCTAGTAGAGTCTGACCTGGAACAGACCCTTGATCAGCTGGTAGAGTCTGACCTGGATCAGCTGGAATAGTCTGACCTGGATCAGACCCTTGATCAGCTGGTAGAGTCTGACCTGGATCAGACTCTTGATCAGCCGGTAGAGTCTGACCAGGATCAGACTCTTGATCAGCCGGTAGAGTCTGACCAGGATCAGACCCTGGATCAGCTGGTAGAGTCTGACCAGTATCAGACTATGAATCAGCCGGTAGAGTCTGACCGGGTTCAGACTCTGGATCAGCTGGTAGAGTCTGACCGGGTTCAGACTCTGGATCAGCTGGTAGAGTCTGACCGGGTTCAGACTCTGGATCAGCCGGTAGAGTCTGACCGGGTTCAGACTCTGGATCAGCTGGTAGAGTCTGACCGGGTTCAGACTCTGGATCAGCTGGTAGAGTCTGAGCGGGATCAGAGTCTGGATCAGCCGGTAGAGTCTGACCGGGATCAGACTCTGGATCAGCTGGTAGAGTCTGAGCGGGTTCAGACTCTGGATCAGCCGGTAGAGTCTGACCGGGTTCAGACTCTGGATCAGCTGGTAGAGTCTGAGCGGGATCAGACTCTGGATCAGCTGGTAGAGTCTGAGCGGGTTCAGACTCTGGATCAGCCGGTAGAGTCTGAGCGGGTTCAGACTCTGGATCAGCCGGTAGAGTCTGACCGGGTTCAGACTCTGGATCAGCTGGTAGAGTCTGAGCGGGTTCAGACTCTGGATCAGCCGGTAGAGTCTGACCGGGTTCAGACTCTGGATCAGCTGGTAGAGTCTGAGCGGCGGCAGGTCCCAGTCTGTGTGCGGATCATTGGCTGTAATCACATTAAATGCCATTATCTCCTCGCCGTATTGTTACGAATGATTTGATTAGAGATTGTGGCGCCGCTCACAGTAAATCCTAATTCGACCCATCTGTCCTCCCCCCTCTCCCCCACCTCCCCCCCTCCCCCTCCCCCTCCCTAAGAGCTCGGACAAACGCACAGTGATAATGATAATAATAATAATAATGGTACCCAATGTAAATATCACCTTTTCTCTTTGTATCTCTGCCCCTTCTGTCTCAAAACTTCAGTCCTGTTATTACTCTCTCTCTGGTCTCCCTCTGGTCTCTTTCTGGTCTCTTTCTGGTCTCCCTCTGGTCTCCCTCTGGTCTCTCTCAGGAGCGGTGGGAATCAGAGTCATATGTATGATTTACAATGTTCAGAGTTGATAAGGTTCACAGGTGAATCACAGATAAAAGCCTCATCCTTCTTCAGTCTGTGTGTGTGTGTGTGTCTGTGTGTGTCTGTGTGTGTGTGTGTGTGTGTGTGTGTGTGTGTGTGTGTCTGTGTGTGTGTGTGCGTGTGTGTCTGTATGTGTCTGTGTGTGTGTGTCTGTGTGTGTGTGTGTGTGTGTGTGTGTGTGTGTGTGTGTGTGTGTGTGTGCGTGTGTGTGTGTGTGTGTGTGTGTGTGTGTCTGTGTGTGTGTGTGTGTGTGTGTGTGTGCGTGTGTGTGTGTGTGTGTGTGTGTGTGTGTGTGTGTGTGTGTGTGTGTGTGTCTGTGTGTATGTGTGTGTGTGTGTGTGTGTGTGTGTGTGTGTGTGTGTGTGTGTGTGTGTGTGTGTGTGCACTTGTTTTCAACTCCTGGTGGGTTCCATAACCTGAGATTCCACTCACGTCATGGGGACTGGTTTTACGTGGTGGGGCCCGAACACCGGACCCCACTGGTCCAAGCTTAATAATCAATGGGTAATGCTTTTCTAACGGTCCTTATGCAGTCTCTGTAAAAATATGGAAAGGACCCCTGGAGGTTTACTTTCCTGAAAAAAGTGTGTTATGTCTCGGAACCCTGGTGGTGGGTTGCGGGATATCAAGAAGGGGCACACTGGGGCAATTTCAGTCCAGCAGGCTGGAGCCAATCATGGAGCAGCACAACAGAGGCTGGAGCCAATCATGGAGCAGCACAACAGAGGAAATCAGGTGTCAGGCTAGAAAAGGTGCAAGTGTGTGGTTCATTAGGCTGCAGCCAATCACAGAGCAGCACACTGAAGCGCACGCTTACAAACCACTGGTAAGTGCTGACTACAAGTCATGACTTCAAATTGTTATATAGAATGATTACAAATTATTTGTTGTTTGTGCAGCTTAGTCAAGAGTCCCTAATTGATGAAGTCGACTCAGATTCTGACGATTTAACTGTCAAGAAGAAACCTGTAAAAAAGTATGGAAAAAGAAAAATCAAAAACACTTTTCTTCAAGACTCGGAAAGTGACGAACCAAAGGCAAATAAGATTGTTATCATGCAGCTGCAAAAGAAGAAAAATGGGGGGCGAGTTTATAGCAAGAGACACTTCTGCCTCTACTGTTCAATGTCCTGCCACAAAATGTCCCGTCATTTGACTAGAAAACATGGAAATGAAAGTGACGTAGCCAGAGCATTGGCTCTACCTGTGAAATCTAAAGCACGTAAACTTCAGTTTGATTTGATCAGGAATAGTGGAAACCGTGAGCACAATTTTGAGGTTTTAAAGGCCGGCATTGGAACTTTAGTCCCAGCTAAACAGCCAAATTCCCCAGTTAAATCCAGTGAGTTTTTGCACTGTATAGACTGTGGGGCATTGCTTAAGCGAAAGTCGCTGTGGAGGCATGTGGCCAGGTGCCGGCTTTCACAGAAAGATGCCCAGGCTAAACCAGGCTAAACCAGGCTAAACCAGGTAGAAGTAGGGTCCAGTCCCTCTGCTCCCTAGCCCAGCCTGTACCGGAGGGCATCAGCAAAAAGCTGTGGTCTTTAATTTCGGCAATGCATCAGGATGAGGTCACGGGTGTTGTCAAAGCAGAAAAGGGGATTCTGAGACTCGGAGAGCACCTGTACTTAAAACACGGGCATGATAAGACTAAGCATGATTACATTAGGCAGAAAATGAGAGAAGTCGGTAGGTTAATTAACGAAGCAAAAACCGCAGGGAAACTGAAAACAATTAAGGATTTCTTTATTCCTTCCAACTTTAACCATGTGATTGATGCAGTCAGGTCTGTGGCTGGATATGATGAGGAAACAAATCAATACAAGACTCCATCCTTGGCCCTCAAACTCGGCCATAGCCTCAGAAAGCAGATATTCTTGAATGTGACTCAAAAATGGAGCATTGTGTTGATGAACTATTTATTAAAAACCTCCAACGAAGCCGGCTGCTTTTTGAGAAGAGGTGGGACGTCTGTGTTTCTTCTGCTGCCCTACAGACCCTCCGGCAAGCCAAGTGGAACACTCCGGACCTGCTCCCTCTGACTGAGGACGTTAGAGCCATGCATGCACATATTGAGGTATGTCGACCTGAATATGTGCAAACCCTAATAAGTGAGCCAACGTCTAAGCATTGGTCTAAACTGGCAGTTTTGACTCTTTGTGAGGTCATTTTTTTCAATCGAAGAAGGGAAGGTGAGGTTTCAAAGATGCCACTGACAGCCTTTACCTTAAGAAGTAAGACTGGGATCCATTCTGACATTGCTCTGGGACTGTCCCAACTTGAGAAAAAGCTGTGTCAGCATTTTCAACGCATTGAAATTAAAGGGAAAAGAAGTCGGAAAGTGCCGGTTCTTTTGACTCCTGAAATGATTGCTTCGATGGAGGTGCTGGTGGAGAACAGAAGGGCCTGTTCCATCTCTGACCATAACCCATACTTCTTTTCCCGCCCGGGCGCAGACACCCACATCAGGGGATCAGACTCCCTACGCCAGGTAGCCAAAGAATGTGGTGCGGTGCATCCAGAGATGCTATCCTCAACCAAACTTAGAAAGCACATAGCTACTATGTCTACAGTTCTCAATATGAAAGAGAATGAGATGGACATACTTGCCAACTTCCTCGGCCACGACATTCGCATCCACAGGCAATATTACAGACTACCAGAGGGGACACTGGAGCTGGCCAAAATCAGCAAAGTGTTGATGGCCATGGAGCAGGGAAGAGTGACGGAATTCGAAGGAAAGAGCCTCGACCAGATACAAATTGAGCCTGAAGGTAATTCTTGATATTATTAAAATATGTATGATTTTTTTCCCCTAAAGGCCACTTGTATTTTTATTTTCTGTGCGACAGGGAGAGCAGTAGAGATCCTCTCACAAACGGACGGGCTAAAAGAAACTTCAAGCGGAGAACCTTCAACCATTCATCCAGATGCACCCCATGGTAGTGGCAGTGCCCCTTCTGGTAAGTGTACCAGGTGGGGGATTACAGCCAGGCTGCTTGGTCCTAACCCTGGGAGTGTATATTGCTAATATATTTTTATTTCTCTCCCTAGAACGTTAGAGAAAGCCATGGTCTGCATCTGAGGTGAAGGCTGTGGAGAAGACCATGACACCTTTCATACAGACTGGAAAGGTCCCTGGGAAGTCTCACTGCCTGGCCTGGCCTGGCCTGGCCTGCATTAATGCCTCACCAGATGACCTTAGACATCGGACATGGAGTGGCATTAAATTCTATGTCAAAAATAGAATCACTGCAATTCGAAAACAAAATCTAAAATAAAATTCCTTTAAAATAGTTGTTTGGTTTCTATTGACTGTTTTGTATTACTTAAAGTAGTCCCAGTAAAAAAAGATTATGTCTATGGGTCCCATTCTGAACGGCCCTGTCAAAGGGACCCACCAGGTAACAAAAACGTGTATGTGTGTGTGTGTGTGTGTGTGTGTGGGTGTCTGTGTGTGTGTGTCTGTGTGTGGACACACACACACCAGGGTGGACTCTTCTGGCCACCCTGGGAAAGCCATGTTCCAGCTTCTTCCCTCTGGCAGAAGATATCGCTCTCTGAGATGCAGGACATCTCGTTACGCTAACAGTTTTTATCCACAGGCTGTTATCAGTGTGAACAGAGCACTTTAATGATTTGCACTTGTTTCGAAACTGTTTTAGTCGATCCATTTCACAGTGACATTTGTTTACTGTTTTATTTGTTTTATTTTTGTCTTTTAATGTTTTATGTCTGTATTTGTCTGTGCACACTGGAGACTTTTGCTAATGTATTCCAATGTGGTTTTACTGCAAATGGCAAATAAACTGAATCTGAATCTGAATCTGAATGTTTGTGTCTGTGTGTCTGTGTGTGTGTGTGTGTGTGTGTGTGTCTGTGTGTGTGTGTGTGTGTGTGTGTGTGTGTCTGTGTGTCTGTGTGTGTCTGTGTGTGTGTGTCTGTGTGTCTGTGTGTGTGTGTGTGTGTGCGTGTGTGTGTGTGTGTGTGTGTCTGTGTGTGTGTCTGTGTGTGTGTGTCTGTGTCTTATATAATCTCACAAATGTACAGAACATAAAGAACGTGGGCTAAGAACATTTCACCTGGAGTTTGTGAAGCAGAGAAACTGGACCACAAGGGAACCAAGAAGTCCTCTTACATTAGTCCTGGTCTCAGGTCTCTGTCCTGGAGTCCTCTCACATTAGTCCTGGTCTCAGGTCTCTGTCAGTCCTCTCACATTAGTCCTGGTCTCAGGTCTCTGTCCTGAAGTCCTCTCACATTAGTCCTGGTCTCAGGTCTCTGTCCTGAAGTCCTTTCACATTAGTCCTGGTCTCAGGTCTCTGTCCTGAAGTCCTCTCACATTAGTCCTGGTCTCAGGTCTCTGTCCTGAAGTCCTCTCACATTAGTCCTGGTCTCAGGTCTCTGTCAGACCTCTCACATTAGTCCTGGTCTCAGGTCTCTGTCCTGAAGTCCTCGCACATTAGTCCTGGTCTCAGGTCTCTGTCCTGAAGTCCTCTCACATTAGTCCTGGTCTCAGGTCTCTGTCCTGAAGTCCTCTCACATTAGTCCTGGTCTCAGGTCTCTGTCCTGAAGTCCTCTCACATTAGTCCTGGTCTCAGGTCTCTGTCCTGAA